CCCCCCAGCCCCACAGGCTGGCATCCGTCGTGACCACCGTCCAGCGCACCGGAAGAAAGGACTTCCCGTGCACCAACACCGGAGAGTGCAGCCACCAATGCAAGGAGGCCCGCGCCTCCCGAGACACCTGAATTTCCCTCTGTGTCCAGCGATGAGGGTGACTTGTCCCACTGCACCAGAATGTCCCTCTGGAGGACTCTGGTGTGATGTTGAGCAAAGGGCACCGCCTCAAAGGAGGCCACCATGAGACCCAGGACCTGCATGCAGCAACAAATGGACGACCACCGGCGAGACCGCAACAAGCGAACGTGGTGGCGAAGTTTCTGGAGTTCAAGCGGCTCACGGACGGCGCGCACCAGATCACGTACCTGAACCATGAGCGCTGACGCAGATTCATCCTCACTGCCCGAGTCCGGCGGCGAGGAGTCCCCTGGATCCGGATGAGGTGATGTGGATGGAAGTTTCCCCTCCTCCTCGGACTCCCAGACAATTCCGGGGATGGCAAGGGCAGAACCTGTTTAGGGGCCTATGCGTGAGAGCGCGCTCAACGCGCGACACATACCCATCCATAGCGGATGAGAAAAGTTCCATAGATAACGCGGTACCGAGGGGCTCAGAGGCGACTGGCAGAGAAGAGCAGGCGTACAGGCAGCGCAGAGAGGTGATCTAGAGGGGTCCGCAGAGCGCAGCCCACAGCCCTCACAAGGCAACACGGCGGGATCGTCCTTGCGATCCATAGCCCCCAGGCCACAGGGAGACCACCCGCGGTACTCACGACCCCCAGCTGTGTCACTGTGTCAAGCACCGGCAACGCCCGACCCCCAGCAAGGGAGAGCTGATCCCTGTGTCCTTCCTGCAGCGGCGTCTGAGGCCGAAAGCAAGTGTGTCCCCAGCCGTCCGGGGATGAAGAAAGCCTGGGCGGAAGTGACGCGTCAGAAAGGGCAACTTGCCCTATTGCTAAATGGCGGCCGCGACGACACCCCGGAGGCCGCAATGGAGCCGGGGCCTCGATTTTCGGCCCGGCCGCATGATTGCGGCATCCGTGGCCGTAGTCGCGAGCGCCCAGGCAGCCCCCCACTGCACCACAGAGGCTCCCCCCATGGACCCCACAGGTCAGGACAGCCCAGGAAGGGCAAGCCACCCATCAGGAGCCACAGCCCTGAAGCCCCACGAGGTAGAGGAGGGGAAAGCTGGAAAGGTTGCAGCCAGATGATCATGCAGCCTCTTACCTTGTCGCTGTCCCCACAGCGCCGGCATCCACAACACGCGGTCCATCAGGGGAGTGGAGGAAGGCGGACACCCCCGACCGCAGACGCCACCAGTCTATGGAAGTGCTGTGACAGGTGGGCCGGGACCCCCTGTCATGTGCACCGCGGGGAACGAAAGTCGCAGCCGACCCGCTGAGGCAGAGCCTGCATGCGCTTGATGGCCACCCAGGGGAGACTACCAGGATCCATCACCATCCAGCATGTTGCCCTGGTAACACTTGCTAGCAGATCCGAGAAAAAACGGAAGAAGGAAAAGAAAATTTCCAGAGAGAATTTTTTTTAGCTCCTTACTCCTGACGCTAGGCAAAAAACTGGAGACTTGTCAGCAGGTGGGGGGTTGGGCCACCAGCAGGGGTAGCCCCTAGGCTGTCTATGTCTTTTTGTTATGTGCCTAGCGTCCTACTCCTGCAGGTGGCGATATACCCTACCTTTCAGGATCTACGATCTGTTGCCCTGTGTCCTTCAATGAACGGGAGAGAAAAGGCTCTCAACTCATAAAATTCTGAAACAGGTGAATGGAACAATAACCACTTTTAGTTAAAGGTTACGTCTAAAAAAACTTAAAATGTGTACTCACTGAAAACACACTGGGGGGGGGGGGGG